TCACAGATAAACTGTCCCTTTTCAGATACACAGATCAGTCCTTTACCAGAAGTATTGCACTTCTTACCAGAGCAGATTTTCTCAGGACAAACACTGCCTTCATTAATTACCGTGCCTAAACTAAAGCATGTAGAAGTAATACTAAAGTAAGAAGAATTCTGCTGCGACTGTCAAACTTTACCACACCTTTGCTTCTGCAGGTGTGGAACAAAATGCCTCAATAATATTTATACAGGAACCTCACCACACCCTTTGGGAACTCATGAGGTTTTACATAGTGTTACAGTATGTCAGCAAGGATTGCTTGGCAAGGGAAGGCTTGCAAATTTACTTGTGCACAGCAGATCACTATCTACTCTGTTTCAAAATAAAGACACGTGTATTATCAACCAAAGTTTTAAAGGGAAAAAGGATACTCAAAGAAAGAATATCTCTAACGTAAAAACTATTTGAGGTTTCAGGTTGATAAAGACTTATCTCACATAAAATGCCTTTATAGCACAGCTCAAAATCTGTTATAATCAGTCCAGGGGATGCATGTTAGGTTATAGCTCATGCCATGCTCTCAGTTACGCTATGGCAGAGTCATCACTCAGGAAAGAGCCATCCTTGGTACAGAAAATGTTATGTTTCTAGTCATAGAATCATATGTTGAGGTAGAAGAGACCCATGAGGATCATTGAGTCCAACTACTGGCCCTGCACAGGACACCCCAAGAGCCACACAATGTGTCCTGCAAGTGTTGTCCAAATGCTCTTTGAACTCAGACACGGTTGGTGCTGTGACCACTTCCCTGGGGATCCTGTTCCAGTGCCCAACCCCCTCCCAGTGAAGAACATTTTCTTGATATGCAGCCTAAATCTCTCTTGACTCAGCTTCCTGCTGTTTCCTCAAATCCTGCCACTGGTCATAAGAGTGAAGAGATCAGTACCTGCACCTCCACTTCCCCTCGTGAGGATGCTGAAAACCACAATGAGGTCTCCCCTGAGTATCCTCTTCTCCAGGCTGAACAGAACAAATTACCTCAGCTGCTCCTCATACAGCTTCCTCTCCAGACCCCTCACCATCCTCATGGTCCTCCTTTGGACACTCTCTAATAGCTTAATGTCCTTTTTATATTGTGGTGCCCAAAACTGCACACAGTATTCAAGGTGAGTCCACACAAATGCAGAGTACAGTGCTTATCTTCTCATTTTCTGTGTCCCTATCCTCCTTATTGTTTTTAAACTTAAATCACACAGAAATTTAAAACAAAAAAAATACATCACATGTACAAACGAGTTAAAATATTATCAGATTTCAAAACTCTTCTCCTCCCCATCCTTCTTGTATCTCCTAAAGTAATTTTAAAGATTTGGGGGTATTTAAAATCCTTTCATGTTTAAAATCTACTGGCCAGCTCCAGCTGTGTCAAAAACTTGACTAGAGTGCTCTGCTGGATCAGAATCAGAAATTCTTCCCTGCCAAGTAAATAAATAGTGCTTGTACTTGTGAAAAATATTTGAGGATGTCAGGAAAACTGAAGAGCTTTCCTTCAAACACCACTTTTTCTTTTGATCTACCTGAAACATAGAACATATTAGTTGTTAATTAAATCAGATTTCTACAAGCTATACAGAGCTGATAGTAAAAATAAGCTACCAATGGGCATGAAAACCAGCCATGGAAAGTTGTATCCTAAAAATACTATGTGAGAGCAGAAGCTACCACTTGTCTTTGACAGCAAGTCTTTTTCTCAAGACCCTTATAGGGCACTTTATGATGTTCTGTTCAGACATCAAACATATCACCTACTCTTGAATCCAGGCACTAATGAACAGAGCAGCACACTGTGTAGTCAAAATGACGTGTGCAAAGTTACACTGAAACTGGAGGAAAACAAAATACTTTTATATAGCTGGCCAGGGCACTGGTATCCTGCCAGTATTTGCCCTAACAAAATGGAAACATGAATGACTGCAGTGAAAGGGACCACAGGTTGACTTCCCACAGGAAGGACACTATTAACACAAATATAAGTCTCCTAGTGTGCTGCTGTGTTGACTTAGTAAGGAGTGGGAGTACCACTGCTACTGAGTCAGCAGTAGCACCATGCAGTGAGTTGTGTCCTCCAGTGATGCCAATTTAAAAGGGTATTAGAAAACATTATCCCATCACATTGATAAAGCATATTTTGTCTTCTGAGATGAGCATAATTTTAGTTACTCAGTATGTTTTTCTTATTTTTATTTCCTAACTACCAGCCATGCCACTCAAGAGGTGTTCTAAAAAGGTAGCTGTAAAAACTTTTGCAAAAGCACAAACCTCTCATTCAGTCTAACCCAGCATTTCTGTGTAAACAGAACACCTCAGTCACTTCTTGTAAGGCAGCAAGCAGTAGCACTAGTTAGAAAATTAGGCTCACCCCCGCTTTATAACCAGAAAATCCACACAAATTGCTCTAAGGGATGAAATCTTTTCAGAGTATCTATCACTCTTCAACAACAGGGCTAAATTTGCAGATTACTCAAATCACTTATGCTTTGGAAACCATTTAAAGCCAAAGTAAACAGATTACAACTTTCCCAGGCACTATGGGAGCAATTAGTTCTGCAGTGAATACCTCTCCTACGCTATGCTGCTCTCTGGAAAACATAACAGATACATCTAATTACAAATCACACATGCCCCTTTTGCATAGATACCATTTCAAAATACCTGAGGGGCAGGAGAACACCATCCATTTGAAGTAATGTGGCTCCTCACAGGTAGGAAAGCAACTTTAGCAAAGCTCTCAATCCCCAAGTTACATTGATGGAGAAGTTTCACTATTGTCAGGGGATCCTTTGCAGCTATACCCTCCTATGTACCAAATTTGGCAGGTATATCCATGGTTCATGCCTAATTATGAGATCCTTCATGCAAACCCCTGCTCTACAACACAAGTCCATGTTCAATGTATGCTCATAGACAGCAGGTCAGAAGAAACCTCTCCAAAGGCAGTTTATGCTGAGGAAACAGAGCTTGTGAGTGAGTCCTGCTCAGCATTGGGAGGTATCCAATTCTTACTCAAGTTTTCAAGGTGGAGTTATTAACAGTGCAGAGAGAAAATATTAAAGAAAGGGCAAGGTAGGATTTTTAAAGGGTGTTTCAGTTAGGAATCAGAGTAGGGACGGACAGATACCGGAAGGACTACAGAAGAAGGGATGGTATGATTACAAGGAGATATTTTAATAGCCCAGGAAAGATGAAAGAGAGGATTTGACAGAATATTCCTCTCTGGAACTGAAAACAAAGAATAGATCTCTGACGTGCTACATGGGTCAAACAGTTTCCAGACTGGGTGAGGAAATAGAAATGAAGTCTTATCTAAGACCCATGCTAAGTTCAAGTGATGTTGCCCACTGCTAATACAAGCAAGGGCTAGTGCCTGTCTCTTAACCTTCCCCATCTCACAGTTACAGTTTCCGTTGCTGTAAAGCCTTAGAATCCTTCAAGATTAACAAAACCCATTTTTCCAAAACAGAAACCCACCAGGAATGACAAATGCTTCCTCAGAGCAAAGCAGGCAATAGAAAAACTCACATATAAGAAGTCACTTTTTTTTTTTTTTCTGTCTGTTTCTCAGAGATAAATTCTGTAAGACAAACCATAAAAGAAGTAGGTCAGTGACTGCTTTTTTTAAACTCTCCAAACCATTAAGGAAAGATTGTTCAAAGTATTGTGGGTTCAAGTTGTTACTAGCCTGTTGCCACAAAAGCATTTATAGAAATACTTATGCAGTCACTTTTGTAAAATTCTTGTATGGTATCATTCTTACCATCACTTCACATCCTTCTCTGAGGTGATTCAGTTCTTCCACAGGGATGTGGCCTGTAGGGCATATTACATTGCAGAGTCATGAGTCATAAGAACCTTTGCAGAACCGGCCAGGCACACTATAAATTCATCTTACCCTTCATGTGAACTGCAGAAGCCTTGGAGACATCCAGAGCAGCAGTGTTTCTCCCTGCACAAAACAAGGTACTGTAATGACTTCTAGATATTATTTATTTCACTAATTCTTGGCTGATGTTGCTTTGTTGACAAATGCATAGGAAAAAAGAACCAGATATCTGAACTAGAAATAATTAATGCTGGGCAAAGTAATTAAGTAAGATTGCACAGGCATAGCCTAGAAGATGAAAGTCTTAAAAATATACAGGAAGAGCAACTTATTGTTCAGAGTTCTAGAATTTCTAGAACTCACTGACTAGCATATATATATATCACAGCACAATAAGAATCATTGTCTTCGTGTTTGTTCTTGTATTCTTTAGTCCTTAGAATGATCAGTTTAGCTCCTGGTTTGCAAGCTACTAGGGTCACAAACTATCTTTTATTCTTAGTCCCTGACTAGAACCCTCAGCTAAACCTGCAAGACAAATGACAAATAGCAGCCTTCATGGTCTGCAGAACATGGAAAGCTTGTATTGCAGAAGAACTGGGATACTAGGATTTGGGCGAGTGCTGTAAGACAGAGTTTCAGGACATTTTTAAAAGTCAGAAAGGTAATTCAAGATGCTTAGCATGCAATAGTTGGGGTAGTGCCTGCTCAAGTATAGGAAGGAGTGTTTTGTCTTGACCTAAAGGAATAGTTTGACTGCTTCTGGTACCAGAGTATTTGTTCACTACAGAGATGAGCATCAAAAGGCTCTTGACCAAACTGAAGCATAAAGATTGTCATAAGAGACAGTTTCTTGATAGTATCTAGCCCAGGCTTTCCTGGGTAATGCTATCAACTGTCACTCCAAGATATTGTAAAGGGCAGTGCAATAAATTTCCTGGTGAACAATACATGAAACACAGCTAGAGGCTGGCTCATCCCTAAAAATATTAGCTGTTGGCATCAATGAAACAGGACATGCTAAACTTTATGTGACTTTATATAGTTAATGCTCCTCATTCTTGATATAGGCAATTTTAGAAAGCCTTTTAATCACAAAAACGTTCAAACAGTGAAGAGGAACTTCTAAACAAATAGCAATCATAGTGGTTCATTAATAGCATCTTTTCTGTCCTTCTGTGCAGCTTCAGGACAATGGATACACTGAATAAAGCAAACACAAGCTTTGCTCTTGACTTTTTCAAACAGCAGTGTCAGGAAGATGGTGACAAGAATATTTTGTTCGCTCCTTGGAGTATTTCATCTGCCCTGGCTACTGTTTATTTGGGAGCCAAAGGCAACACTGCAGATCAGATGGCAAAGGTGAGTCTGGGCTTCTGGAAGTACCTGTCTGAAAGAGCTGATGTCTTGGAGTAATGTCCTCCACGCCAGAAATTTGCTGCGATGAAACAGAGGAAAGCCATATTATGTGTAGAGTTTTGAGGACTCTCCTCTATAGTTATTTCAAGTTTTATGTTTTGCTAAACATAAATCCACATCTACAAGATTAGACAAAAAACACGTTGAGACTACCTTTCTTTGGGAATGTATTTTATAGGCAAAATTACTAACTAAAATTGCCAAGTCGCACTTTTTCAAAGTTTGTAGTGTCATTGGGGGCAGTGAGAGCTTTCCCAATGCACGATTACCAAACACTTAATTCAGGTACCTAGCTCCTGTTGTAGGAGGGGAGGCTTGTGAGTTTGCATCTGCTAAGGCAGAAGTTGTCCCACCTGAACTAACTCCTGATTTACAGGACAAAAGAGACCCAGTAGGGTAAAAAAGAAGTGATCTTCTGTTAGGATGAAGGAGAAACAAAAAAAACCACAAAAGGCACAGCTCTTCTGAAAACTGTTCCAAGGTTGTTTGCACCCCTTTGTAGCCAGGGTAAAGTGAACAAGCCCAGAGAAAGGGATTTAAGGCACAATTTTCAGGCTTTTTGACACATAACAGAACTCCATTAAGACTTCTCCTTTGGTAGACTCCACCCAGGGGTAATTGGCTCTTTCCAGGTGTTAACTGGTCATCCCAGGGCATAACTCAAAGCAGACAGATTCCTCAAAGGCCAGGTACATAAGAGTTTTGCCCTGCAGCCCTCAGCTTAGTTTGCACAAGCTATTTTGTACACATGGGCATTGAGACCTAGACAAAGATTTCATATTCAGTAGACACAAGAATAAAATCTGATCTTGACTGTCCTCATTACCAGTCCCACTGATGTCACTGAAAAATTTCACTGAAACAGCAAATTTTCTATTGTTGCATTTATTATTGCTTTTTCCACTGCAGGTACTTCACTTTAACAAAGCTGAAGGAGCCAAAAATGTCACCACAACCATAAGAATGCATGTCTACTCCAGAACAGAAGAGAGTCTATCAAATCGACGTGCATGTTTCCAGAAGGTATCTCATCCAAGCTGGTGATCAAACTATGGGCACAACCACATCTTCTCCTGCTTGTACATTCCTTCCACATTTGCATTTGCTTATGTTTGCCTTCCTCAGACTTAGTGTACAAAGTTAATTGGTGCAGCATTGTGTGATACCTTCAACTAATGCAACACTTATTACATGCTTCCCCCTTTTACACAGAATTGCATAATCTAACCTCAAATTTGCACAATTTAACATTTGATGATCAATATATCTTTTGATCTTTTTCCTTTATCTCTGAGGACAGATTTAGTTCTCAAACTATTACTATTCAAAAGCTAGCAGAGTTCTTACCTCAGTGAGCTAATGCCAAGAAAGGAGGTGCTCTTCCAAACATTTGATTGCAGCATTAAGACAAAAAAACCCAGAACATTAACTTTTCCAGGCTACCTATTCTTGATTTGTTCCAGAAATTAATCTCCATTTCAATTGAGAAGTTAATTTACATGTTGGGATTTTCTAAAGTAGACCAGTTGCCCGCAATAAATCTAAGAAAAATGGGAATAATTTTATTCCTGAGATAAGCCTTTGCCATACTTGCCAGCATCTTGTCCCAGCTGGTATGTAATTTAACATAGCAGAATGATACAGAAGAGCAAATTAAATCCCTCTGAGTCAGTAAAGGCTTTTTCCTAGTTGACAATTCAAAGATGGTAATATCAAATTCTTCTCCCTGCTCTTTCCCCGTCATCCTTGTTCTTTAGAGGGGTGAGCTGTTTCCCTTCAGTCTGCCCACAAAACCCCAACTGCCACTAGTTTTGATGAATGAATCTGTATCCCACAGCCAAATCCCATGGTGGGAAGATTTATTTTAGGGGTTATGTCAACATCTCATTTGCACTGCATGAACAGGAGAGGGATTGTTCCTCACGACTAACACTTGCCCTAATTGTAAGAATTACGGAGTGCTATGGGTTCTAACACTTTGGAGATTTAAGGGTCTGTTCATGCCTCTGATTCTGATATAATGAGACGAATACAGCACAGGTGCAGATTTTTAACTTACAAATTCACAGCTTCTTCCTTGAGCTCATTGGAGACTCTGAACTCACACTCATTTAATCCTGTCACTTCAATATAGAGAATTTACTGCAATTACTGAAACATAAAAACCGCCCCCCAAAACAGCAAACCACAAAATATTAAGAGAGAGATTGAGAAATTTAGGGGCAAACCATCCATGTAACACTACTTTCATAAATTAAGGGAATGATAGAGCCAAATCTCATGCATTGCTTAAGAATTACTCTCTGACATTTATTTTCTGGATATCTAAAAAGTTTCACAATCTCCACTTACAAACCCTTAAATATTTTACATAGTTCAGGCTCTTAACACTTGCATTCCAAGATACCCACAGTATCTATGCCACATCTGCAACTTCTAATACTTTAAAATTATTATTTTAATAGCTGTCCAGTTTACAGCACCTCTTCTGTTGTAATATAGGTAACAGACCTCCTGAAGGGAAATACTTTACTTGGATCTGCATGAACGAAAAAAATCAGGAGTTTTACACAACAGATGAATAATGTCCTTTTTATTTCTCTTTCTTCAAGACAGAGATTGGCAAATCAGATAATATCCATACTGGATTTAAAGCACTCAGCTTTGAAATCAACCAACCCACTAAAAATTACCAACTTAAAAGTGTCAACCAGTTATATGGAGAAAAATCATTGCCTTTCACTAAGGTAAGACTTATTTAGATTATACAGTGCCATTTAATCTTCATGATCTACCTATGGCAATATAAACCATATACTTTTAAATATTCTCACTACATTTGCAAGTTATGTTATTATCCTTAACATTAATATTTTATATGTTACTTTCCTTAGACTTTGGACACTGAAATTTGAGTTTTTTTGGGATGTGTATCTAATCTCAGAGTGATTTGTAGATGTAGTTAGATGAGAATGTTTAAATTGAGTGTTTCCACTAAAAATACTTTTTCCTTTAAGAAAACACTTTGCTGGTGTCCATGTAATTTTTATTTCTGGCTGTAGTAGTAGTCATATTGGCAGGCAGCCAACTTAAGTCAGGTGTCTCTATTTCACTGCAGGAATACTTATTGTTAGCCAAAAGATATTACAATGCAGAACCACAATCAGTCGACTTTGTGGGAGCAGCAGATGCAATCAGGAGAGAGATCAATTCCAGTGTTGAACAACAGACTGAAAGTAAGTTCCAGCCTCTCCTCTCCAAATCAAAAACGAGTCATTTTGGCTTCTCTGTGCCCAAGGGGCCCATGGCAGGTAAACAATTCACCTTAGAAAGGTAAACCAGACTTTTCCTAAATTACTCATCTACTGACAAGCTCTTACTAAAATTAGTGTCCTCCACCTCAGTGTGTGAGGAGTACGGCTTATTCTTCTTTGTAAATCAAAATTACCCTAGTAACTACATATTTGTGAATAAACTCAAGCTAGATGGCTGCTGTCAGCATTTACAATTTCCCTGGTTTATATCCCCAGAAACTGTACCAGCACTTAAACTGAAACAGAAACTGCACAGATGTGTGAATGTCCCTCTGTTTTCTCTAGGTAAAATCCAAAATCTGCTGCCTGCAGGATCTGTGGATTCACTCACCAGGCTAGTCCTGATAAATGCACTTTACTTCAAAGGAAACTGGGCAACAAAGTTTGAAGCTGAAGCTACCAGGCAAAGGCCTTTCAGAATAAACATGGTATGGCAATTTCCTACACTGCAGGTGGAAAAACCTGAAAAAGATGGGGGGAGAGGAAGAGGAGGGAGAAATCCTGTCACCCTTTAAATCCATGTGGAGGGATAGTTATTTCATTTAAAGCATTCAGGATATTCAGTATATTTATTTAACACACCTTCAGCACTAAAACTGCACACACATACCAGGCCCTGAGGTACAAGTAAATTGTCAGAAGCTGACTTCAAAAAAACTTCCATTTTCCAAAGGCAGGAAAAAAACAGAGGTGAACAAAACAGTATGGGTAAGTTCTTTACACTTTCACTTTTAACCACTCAACAAATCATAGTGGCATACAGTTGCCTACAATTGGATGTCATTTGAGACAGCTCAGATAGCATGCCATGCCTCCCAGTGCCTTTCCAGTGATCTGAAGATCCTATGTTCTGTGTCCTACCCATAAATGACGTCTCAGACACATTGGGCAGCTTGTAAATACAATAAACATCCACTGTGCTACTTTAACTCAGTCCTTTTACTGTTCGGAGTACAAATGTAAACTATTCAATTTGATTTGTTGCAGCATACAACTAAACCAGTGCCCATGATGTACCTGAGGGACAAATTTAACTTAAACTACATAGAATCAGTTCAGGCTGATGTTCTTGAGCTTCCATATGTCAATAACGACCTCAGCATGTTTATCCTGCTACCAAGTGACATCTCCGGCTTACAAAAGGTAAAGAAACTGAGAAGATAAATAATGTGAATAAGTAAGTGTCATTATTTACTTATGTTATGCATGTGTGAGGTAAAAGACCAGGCTGCAGTCATGTTTCTATGAAGGAGGGTACTGATCAGGCTCAAAGTAAAGCAAATCCCAAATCTGGTCTAGTACTGTGAGCTTGAAGCTCTTGAAGCTCAGACTAGATATCTTAGTCTTGGAAGCCAGCACATCTGTGGTTGCTACAGTTGATCAGTCCTGGAAACAGGTAACCCAAACCCCGTAAGACTGCCCCTTTTCCAGGCGAACAAAAATGAGGACACAAAACCAGCCCTGCTGAGATCCACTATCCACACCAATTCATATAGATAGGATTTAATTCCCAAGAAAACCCACCAAAAGTTGGGCAGCCTCTGTGTTCCAGGATGTCCAAGAACTAACATGTATTGACACTGCCACCTTCTGTAAAAAGCCTGATTCTGCCTCTGGCAGAAATTTTCATTGTTAAGGTGTTGGGGGAAGGGGGGGGTATGTGGAGAGGGAAGCTCTTTACTGTAATTCTAAAATGTGGGGGAGACAGCACAGGAAACAAACATTCAATCAGACTATTGTAATTCTGCTATATTATCTGACAATTACTGAGAACAGTTCAAATACTGCATTTATATACTATAGAAAAACATTCTCCTTTAGTTAAAAAGGTCTCCAAGATGCTGTTTCCTCACTGTTTTTCTTGTGCTCTTACAACCTCTTTAAAAGTTCTGCATTTAAGCAAAGAGAAGAAATAGCTCTTTGGGCACAGGTTTTTTTTGACATTCCTTTATTTTCTAATTTTCTTTTACTAACTGCAGCTAGAAAGAGAATTGACCTTCGAAAACTTGTCTGCATGGACCAACCCAGAACTAATGGAGAAAATGAACATGGAAGTTTATCTGCCCAGGTTCACATTAGAAGAGAAATATGACCTCAAATCTACTTTGAGCAGGATGGGGATACAAGATGCCTTCACAGAAGGTCAAGCTGATTTCACAGCAATGTCCAAGACTGGTGATCTGTTTTTGTCCCAAGTTTTTCACAAGTGTTACCTGGAAGTCAATGAAGAAGGCACAGAGGCAGCAGCTGCCAGTTCGGCAACACTGGCATCACGAAGTCTTGGTGCTACTGTTATCTTTTTGGCAGATCACCCTTTCCTCTTCTTTATCAGGCACAACAAGACCAAGACTATCCTCTTCTTGGGAAGATTTTCTTCCCCCTAGAAACTCGATTACTAAACAGGTTATTGCAACAACAAAAATGAACTAAATACACACCACAAGGAACATCTCAATAACCTGTGCACTTCTTAATTTTCCTGTGCTATTGACAAATCCCTCAATGTTAGAAGAGAGAATTTATAAAAAATAACCTCATTTATGACTCTGGCTCATTTTCCTGGTCAAAGAACCCCAAAATGCTGGCACTACACGCTAAGTACCAAACCGCACAAAGAAGAATATTACTTTGTCTTTTCAGCACTTTCTGAACCAGAACTTCCACAATTCAGTACAGACTGAGTTGAGCTCAACCAGTAATTTTAAAGTTTTGATACCTAAGAAGAAAAAAACCTAAGAAGAAAAATCTTCTTGCAGAATGCTTCTGCATCTCAATTGGTTTCAACTCATGCTGATTCCCCAAGGCAGGCTACTCACCCACATTCTTGTTTTTTACCAACTTTGCAGCGTGGCAGAACTGGCTATGAAATAAACCAATAAGGCAAAATTGCCTTTGTTCCTGATACTGGTCCTTCTTTTTTGCTCGAAAAGAGGCTAATATATGTACTTTCTAATTTCTGTCCCACAGCAATTGGAAAATATTTAACAACACTACAGAACTAGGAAAATAAAACACACGTGCCTCACAACCTTCTCCTTTGTAAACTTTCACCCTTTCAACACTATTTCCAGCCTAGCACTGTACTGCTTTGCTCTCATTTTACTTTGCCACTTATTCACTGGTTTGAGACAAGATCAAATGGGAGAATCAAGTCTAATACTAATACAAGTAATACTAATGGCCATAAGTACTTTCTGGAAGATGAATGTGAATCTCCCAGGCCATATTTACTCCTGTCACTGCTCTTTCTCCTAAGAGAGTGTCTTGATCAGTCATGCACGTTTGCAGGGAATGCTCCTGACTATCTGAATTCACAACAGAGAACAACAGACCAGGTTTCTTAATGGACTTGCACATCACCACCAGCATCTTACTAAAAACACATGTTCTTGAAACAGGAGTCCTGCTGGCAGTTTCCTGGCAGAGAAGAGACTGCAGACTGTCCCCGAGTCCTTTCTCTTCACTATGAAGTAGTCAGCTGCTCCCAGGGTCCCTTCTGTCTCTGCTTCCCAAATGCAAAGGGACATAGGAAAAGTGTTATGAAGCACATGCTTTATACTATTCCTGTAGACCCCCAAGAGAAATACCTTCTGCCTGTCTCAGTCATGAAACATGACATTAGATCCCTGTGCATTCAGATTCAATTCTGCCATGCCCTCCTTCACCTCATAGAAGAGCAGCATGTCCCCATGGATAAGCCTCGGGAATAAAGACAAAAAGACACACCTGGAGGGCCAAGGAGAAACAATATCATGACAACATGAACACAAAGTCAGGCCTGTAAAGTCAGTGGAAGTGTGAGTCATCTTTTCTGTCTCCTTATTTTAAGCATAACTGCAAAGATTATACAGTTGATGTCTTTTGGCAGTGCCATATCATTAGTGAGTGGCAATGGTCATAACACATGAAAAGTGAATTGTACATTAGGGAACAATCTTTTCCCAGGGTGAACAGCTAGAAATGTTGTGGAATCTTCATCCTTGGGAGGGCTATGGCTAACCTTATCTACTCATGGCCCTGGTCCAAACAGGAGGTTGATCTCTGGATGCCCCTTTCAATGAATATCTGTGATTTTTTTTCTCTCTTGTCAAAAGCCACTGTGCCTCGCCATCTCCTTTTCCCATCCTGCATGGCATCCTTGCGTCTTGAGTAGCAAAGGCAACTACCTTACAGTATATATCTTTGGGACTTCGGAGTCTCCTGGCTTGGGCTTTCTCACCACCTAACTATTCAGCTGACTTTTCCCCTGTCCAGATTTCTAGAGGACTTACCCGCCACACTAAAACTAGCACTTGTTTAATTTCTGGCATTTCTTCACTGCCTTGCACAACACTGATTTTTGACATTTTTTAGAATTCTTGACCCACTGCATTCCTGTAATCAGGCTTGCAGTAAAATGCTTAGCACACAGTACAATTTCCTTCCTTTCCTGTACCTTCCACTGCCCACTATAGGGCCTAAGTGTTGTTGCCACTTGTTCTTCCATCACTGTCTTTCTTCTGGGACTTCAAAGTGACAGCTCTTGTGCCATGTTTACCTCTCTTGTTTCTCTGTCTTTGCTCCCAGTAGGGTTGTTTCAAATCTTGCCCTCCCCCCTACTGTGCAGTAACTCAGGGTTTTGCAGTGTTTGTCTCAAATGATTCCCAGCCATGATTGCAATGAGATTGTTTCACCAATGCAACCATAGGGTGTCTATCCCTTAGCCTCCTTCACTGCTTTGCCTCTGTGTTCCTAATGATCTTCAGTCTGAAGATGGACTCCCAGCGTCTAATTTAATCACTAAGCTTGGGGTTTTATGCTGAGTTACTGCATTTGAAACCCAGGACACAAAGAGAAGGGAATCAGACCCTCAATATCTGCTTTAATCCAGAAATCAAAATGAAATATTTGCATAATCTTTTGAAAAGTCACTTATTTTAAACAACAGAGCAGTTATCTCCACAACACCAGAAAAGGTTTTGGAATTGGCAACTTTGTTTGCTATCCTGTCAGTAGGCTATTGTGGTACAACAACAGACCTGAGATTTTAATTCAAGTCCTTTTGAAATGTCTCAACCTGAAAAGTGACCAGGTCAACAAAAAGGTCAAAATTTCATAAGATCTTTTGGGGATGTGGTAGAAAGGAACTTTGGGTAGGTGGAAACAGCCTGGATGTAAATAAAAAGGAAAGGGAGGGACAAGCAGTACTATGTTCCTTAATTTAAAAAATCGCTGAACACACAAATACAGAACCTGATTGAGGACCTAAGGCCTAAGACCTAAGTCTTCTCTCTCACAGGATTGAAGGTAAATATTTAAATCAATTTAAGTAAATTTCATTATGTTTTTAAAAAGCAGTCTGTGCCATGTATGCATATCTGTATGGATAAATGATAATATACCTGTGTTATAATGCATTATTCTTGCCTTGTGTTTTTCTAACTTTCAACCATTAGAGAAAATAATTCTGTAAGCCTAAGGAAAACTGCTAATTTGGGGCAGAATTAGTCACAAGCAGGAAAGTTTTCTTAGAGCAGTGAGTAAACAGCATTACAAGTAAAATCTTCATTTTCATAAAAGAATTCTCTACTTGAGGTGAAGGCACAGAACTGCACATTATCAGGCCAGAGACTCAGAGGAGTATTCATTGCTGAAAACAGAAATTCCCATCCTGATGCTCTCTTGGTTGTGTTGTCAAAGGAAAGAAAAATCACTCCGTGGTACAGACTTGGTGCTGAGGGCATACTGACTGCCAGAACGAATCTAGCTGTTTAGAAACCAAACACTTGAGAAATACCTGCAGACTTCAGAGATGGCCCCACAACTTTTGTTGCCCCTTTCCATAGATACAATATTGATACCAACAACAACAATAATATAAGCATTTCTGTCTCTTGAGTGGTAAATTACATGAGGCAGGTGTTACTGGGTAGCTATCTTAAAGCCTGGAGCACTCATAACCTCAAGGCATCTGGCAGTTTCTGGGGGAAATAAAATTGCTGGAATATACAGAAGGGGTGGTAGGTACACACAATGAATAAACTGCCTAAGTCTAAATGGAAACAACAGCTTTGCTGTTCATGAAACTACTCAGAATACATCACTGGCCAGGAAATTTTTAGGCTGATCTGCTTTATGTCTAAATCCTTTTGCAGTATCAGCTGTCAATTTTATACAGATCCAAAATGTAGTAGTGGGAAACTTAAACATGTTGTGAACCAATGTACTAAAAATACATATAAATCTCCCTGGGAACGTTGCTTTGATAAATCATTAGTTAATGACAAAAAGGAAAAGAAATACAGAGGTTACAAATCTGCACATCTTTGAAAATCAAAGGCAGAAAGAATCACAAAGAAGACTGCAGCCATATAAAAGAGGAAAAAAACCTAAAATTTGCCACTCCTAACAGGTGGCAAACAGTATCTGTGTGGAAGATGAACATACAACTATGCTATTAGCTATAGTGATTTCAATGGATTGTCTTGCACATGCAACATGTCTCACTAATGAGTACTGTGTACAAAAATTTAAGCATTCAAATAGTACAATTCTGTCGTTGTCTCTTTGCAGGCTGTAAAAATGGAAGTAGTCTCCACATCAGTTGGCAAGTTTACCGTTGATCTTTTCAACAAGCTGAATGAGACGAACAAGGGAAAAAACATTTTCTTCTCCCCTTGGAGCATATCAGCTGCTCTGGCTCTGACATACCTGGGAGCAAAAGGAACTACAGCAACTGAGATGGCAGAGGTAGGTTGCTTTTGTACTATTATCATGGGAACAGCCATTTGGATTGGCAAGAACATATTCCTATTGTTGGGAGAAACAGCTGTGGAAGGGAGTTCTGCCTCACAGCATGCAGACAGGAACACTGTGTTGGGGGTCTGGGAGGGGATGGCACTAGTCATTGTTATTCCATGGGATTTATTGTCATTACATCTTCAGCATCCCTTTAATTACTCCCTTTTAATTTAGTCACTTTAATCCCTTTGATTAGTCACCCAAGCAGCAGATAGCACAGTGAGTTATCACAAGAGAAACATGACAATCATTTGATCCCCATTTGACTTTATGTCTCACAAGGTCCTTCAATGCCTATTTCTTATCTTTGGAAACTCTGCTTGCAGGTCCTTCATTTCACCCTGGGAGCAGGACCTGAAGCTTCTTCTGTGGCCAGACCTTCTCGGGGGAGACCAAAGAGAAGAAAATTGGTATCTATTAGAACTGAAATTCCATTATAAAGAACCTCCAGAATCAAAGTGTCCAGATAAGGCTTTAGGAGTCCAGTATTTATCATCAGCACCTCTCTTTAAAACACAAACCCAAACCATATTTCACAACAGGTTGAAGTTCAGTTCCTTTCACTCACTCAGACTCTCAGAAGCATGAAAGGTTGAGTCTCTGGGATAGTCTGGAAGGTTTGTTACATGGCAATGCAGTTAATCCAGTCACAAACAGAGCCCCGCAAATTGTGGTGATGTAATATTGGGAAAATAAAAAGTAAGGAAGAGGAACCCAAAATTCCTCTCCTAAATACATCACTTAGCATGTTTTGAAAGCTTAATGCAAAAATGAAATTGCTGAATGTTTAGTTTCTTTTTCCAAGGATCCTGAAAACAAGCAAGCTGCAGATATCCATTCTGGCTTCAAGACGCTCCTGACTGCCATCAACAAACCCAGAAGCACCTACTCCCTGAGAAGCGCCAACCGCATTTATGTGGAAAAAACCTTCCCGTTATTGCCTGTAAGTTAAATCTCAGAGAAGAGTAAGAAAAGGTGCAAAAATATTTCTCTTTTTAATTACTTGCCATTAATAGAACAGGCTGAATGTTGACCTTGAATACTGCAAAGAGGAGCTCTGGACTCCAGTGATAACCTTAACTGGAAAATACCAGTCAGTCTGCTCACAGAACTTAAGGATGCATTCATTGCCTTTGACTGTAGTGTAGGGATTCCTTTACATGCAATGTGCCTTTAATATTGGAACCCCCAATAAAATTGTAAATGAGAAAATAAGCACATCCAAAGGATGCACGCAGTCTTCCTCACTTCTCCAGATAAATCTTGGAACAAAAGATGTGAAATTTCTACTCTTTGGTTATTTGTTAATCCACAGTCTGGCAGAAAGTAATGAGCAAGATCCTGCAGTCCTCTAGGTCCAAGAATCTATCAATTATAAGAGCTAACAACTTCCTTTTGGGATTAAAAAATAGTATATTTCTCTAGTATAGAATTTTTTGCTCACTTTTTTGTTATTTTTCAGACATACATACAGCTCAGTAAGAACTACTACAAAGCAGAGCCACAGAAGGTTAACTTTAGGACAGCACCAGAACAGTCAGGAAAGGAAATCAACACTTGGGTTGAAAAACAAACTGAGGGTAAGCTGGGCTCAACCCCAACATCTTTGCTCTCCCACAAAGTCAGTCTGCCATTTCCTTTAGGCAGGTGCCCTTACTTCCCCAGGTGCTACTGCAGCAGCCAGATCATGCCTTCCAATATGGATGTGGGCAGTGTGCAGAGATGTGGTGGGAGGACAGAGAAAGAGCAGCACACTTAAGCAGCTTCAAACATCTGATCTGGACCTCAGTGAGCTCCCTGAGGAAATTCCCATTGACTCCCAGAGCTATGCTCTGCAGCAGCTGGTCCTCAGGCACAGCTGTGCCCTGGTGCTGCACCCAGGCACCACTGGGAGAACAGATAGAGGGGAGAAACACCTCTGCCTACCAGTGTGCTCCATGGCAGGAGGGGATGCCTGCCTTGCTGTGCCACCCTGCACCGAGCAGAGGGGCTCCTACTTCTATCTGGTGTAAACAGCCATTGAGGCTTTCTGCTTCTCTAGCTGCTTGCCAAGAAGCTGAGACCTATTTAGAAGAAGGAGTAAATCCCTGTCAGTTAGCCAGGAGGACAGGTCAGCGAACAGCTTTGGAGACTGTAAAGAAATGCATTAATTTATGTCAGGGGAGCATTTTAGGGAGCAAGGCACTGAGGCATGGACTTTTTAACTAAGAAGCTGAACTGAGAGAAAAACTGATAAAAATGTCCTCATTGTGCTATGTTGGAATGAAACCTGACTCTTGTGCTTTCAAAAGGCAAAATCAAAAATTTGCTGGGTCCACAAGATGTGACAAACGCCACCACACTGATCCTGATAAATGCCATTTACTTCAAGGCAGAATGGGAAGCGAAATTTAAGGCAGAAAATACACAGCTGCAACCCTTCCGACTGAGCAAGGTAAGCTCCTCCTCTTACTGTAAAGAACCTGGTCACAACAGCTATTGCTGAAATCTTTCCATTTCATAACTCTTTTAGGTAGCCCTATAGTAACTAGACTCAGTGAAAAGCTGGTTGCAGCAAAATCTGTCAGTGAAACATTAGGATGTGCTCAGGTAAATGTTAGTGAGCTCCAGGTAACAGCTACTATTTCCAAAAATCACTACAGTCATTTAAAATCTTTCTGTTAAACAGTGCTAAAATTGACTAAATTGTAAAGACACAATTTTGAGAGTCCAGGGTTCATGGATGGGAACTACATGGCATGTCATGGATGAGTACAGTACCAGACCTCTGTGCTGTGCAACTAAGCTGGGCATAATCATTCCTGCTCAAACACAGCTGCAACAGGGTGCCCGAACTGGTGCATGGTTGCATGAAGCCAGAAGCAATGTTAATGGCATGTATCCAGAAAAGATGTTAATGAATTCACAGTTAAAGACAAGAACTCTGTGCAACTTCCACAAAGCATATCTTCTACTTTCTGATTAGCATGTACATATGGTCTGTACATTCTTCCTTGAATGAAGGTTTACAGACGTTAATAGAAGTTACATACTCCTGACTATGTGACTGCTTCCTAGGAACTCCTCTCATCATGAGTCCTTTTGCTCTGACACTGGTGTTATTTTTGTCAAGCAATCAGCTGGTTAAACTTTTTATTGCCAGAGAGAGGAGACCACTGATAAGCTGAACAACACTTATCCTCTTAAACCACAGCTGTTCTTCTGTCAGTGTTGTAAGGCCATATCCCATGCCTGCTCCATAACTCTAATCCTTGCAGATATTTCTAACTCTCTTCCTTCTTGGGCATGTTTTGGGGAGAAGAGAAAAATATCTCAGTTCAGCCCTCAACAAAAAAGCTTTGTGACAGGAAGATAAGCAATGTTGTCCAGTCAAGAAAAGCTTTGGAAAATGGATGGTAAATCACGGTTTTAAAAGCTTCTTATAAAATTTCTTTTCCTGCACTGCACTGAGATATCATTACCCTTCCATTCAAGGAATGATTTCTTACTTATAAATAATTTCCAGAACAAGACCAAGCCTGTAAAGATGATGTACATGAGAGAAACATTTCCAGTTCTTATCATGGAAACAATGAATTTCAAAATGATTGAGTTGCCGTATGTGAAACGTGAACTCAGTATGTTCATCCTCCTCCCTGATGACATCAAAGACAACACCACGGGTCTTGAACAGGTAAGAAAGCATGCTAAAACCATCTTATATTACTGCTCAGTCATTTAAAGAAGGGCAGGCTGACAATAATATCTCCCTTTCTGAGGACATGCCAACATGCTGTTTGACCTCCTGCACAAGCTAATTAATTTTAATACTTCTCTAATCTCAAGAAAGTTCTTCCATGCTGAGCACCCTTAGTTTGGTAGGAACTGAAGACAAGCAACACTGTGCATAATCACATACTCAGCTCTTCAACAGCTCCCTTGACTGACACCCAATTTTACATGATTTGTAAGGGTTAAAAATCTCCCTTCCTTGCACATTCAGGAGAGAAGGAAGGTGGTCACAAGAAGTCACAGGTTCTTCCTGAGATGACACCTTTCCCTCCATGGCCTGGAAGTTTAATTCCGTTTTGTTCTCACTCTTTCCCCTGCCCTGCCCTCCCACCATTTGTCTGCTCTATGAACAACTAGGATTTCGTTGAGACTGTTTGTTACAGTAATGAGATCTGCTATGTAGTTATCATAATTCCAAGATTGCTAAATTCTTGGAGTCTATACCATTCATTGCTTTCCTCCATTTGATTTGAGCTGAACCCTGGTGGCATAGTGCCCAGGACACAGAGTGGCAGTGAAAGACTTGGCCAGAAGAACTTTGTTCCAAAGCTGTCAAGGAAATACATGCAATAATACTAACACCTGTTTTTTTAGAACTGGACCAAACCATGTGCCACATAGCAATTTAAAAGAAAGAACTACCACAGGGGATGGAAGCTGTTGCATGCCCTTCCCATCTCTCTTTTGGAATTAATTTGGAAAGGGTGTCGTTCAAAACTTTGCAGCATTAAGACTCATATATTAAGACTCTGATTATCAGTAAAACCAATTTCTATTTAATACTTTCAGCTAAATGTCAAATTTGCTATTTAAAATGTTTAATATGTTTTAATGTTTAAAATGTTTAAAATGTTCACTACATTGCCATAAAATTGATTAATTTATAGTTAATTGTTTTTTCCTGCAAACACCAAATTACTTCTCTTTCTTGAACGATAGCTGGAAAGAGAACTGACTTATGAGAAGCTGTCCGAATGGACTGATTCCAAGAAGATGACAGAGACTCTCGTGGATCTGTACCTGCCTAAATTCAAAATGGAAGAGAAATATAACCTCAGTGATGACCTGATCAGGATGGGAATGCGCAGTGCCTTCAGCATCAATGCTGATTTCAGTGGAATGACTGAGAAGAATAAAGTGATGATCTCCAAGGTTTTTCACAAGTCTTTTGTTGCAGTTGATGAGAAGGGCACTGAGGCAGCTGCTGCTACTGCTGTCATTGTAGAACTAACAAGTGCACATGTTAGCCATGTTCTGAAATTTAGGGTTGACCATCCTTTCTACTTTTTCATCAGACACAACAAGTCCAAGAGCATCCTCTTCTTTGGTAGACTCTGCTCTCCTCTTGAATGAATTATTACTTGCTCTCAGATAGGAACCAAGGTTTACTGTTCAATAGAAAAAGTGAACTGCAGTGCTAAAATCTCAACCTTAAGCGATGTAGCCACCTGTATTGAAAATGCCTGTTTTTTTCCTTCCACCCAACCCCCCTTAAAGAAGGCAGCATCCAGAGCCACCTGAGCCACCAAAGAACACTGCTCTACTACTTCTTTCTATTGTCCTAATGAGACAGTCCTGAACAGAAAAGAAAGTGCAGAATTTTGCTCTTTTATCAAATCTGCTCTTCTGGCTGTTGTTTAAGAGTAATAAAAGCTCTCTGCACTCAGGCCTATCATCTAGCCCTATATCAAATGCTGACTTTAAGGGAAATGCAATTCATTGTCTTGACTCTCACAGAGAAGAAAAAGAACCCCACCAAGTAAAATAAAAAAAACAACAAAAAAAACTTGTAGAAATCTGTATGCTCTCTTTTCTGCACTGGGAAACCTACATTTGTTCTACAATGCTATTTCATAACCTTAATTGCAAATTTCAGTGACTGTTGGAAATTTACAAAATTTAATACAAATCCAGAATAATCTCAGAATGCCCCTTACCATCCCCTATCTCACCACATGCAGATAAGCACATCACATTCATTCTCTCCTGCTCTTTCAGCTTCCTGAAAAAGTAAGGCTGTGAGGGAAAATTGTCCAACCCTTAATATTAAATTCCTGACTTCTAATCATGTTGCACTTTTTCCTCATTTTTCTAAGTTTTGTAGTTAAGGTTGCTTTCTTACCACCATTTTTTGATATGTAATCTAAACCTGTTAGAATTTAAATCTGTTTCCTCTTTTTAATTTTACTTAATTATACCTGTTTTCTAGTTAGTACCTGCAAAGCTTCCTTGCCAGCTGTAATATCGACCAATGTTTGATTTGTACCTTACAAGTGCATCTCAGCAAAGATATTTGTGGTATCGACAGAAACACTGGTGAAGTTTTGATTTTGATTGATGCTTTACTATTTTACCATGAGCTGCATTTAATAAAATAAACAAACTTGAAGTTGTGTTTGTGTTATTCAAGATACTGACTTACTTGGTTCTCTTACAGCATCCTGCAATCTGTAAAGCTGGAGCATTGTTTGCATTCTCATCATTCCAAATCAACCACCATACCATCCCAAATGACAAAGCTGAGAAACTTAAACACACTGGTGTCTTATTTTCACTACATTTCAAACAGGCCTCCAAACACTTATTCTGCATGTCATCCTAGGCATTTACAAACATACCTTTCACAACACACTAGAAATAAGATGACTGACCAGAGGCTATGGCCCAGAACAGCACCTTCCAAATATCCCTTTTGACCATATTCAAGAGTGAAAAAGCAACATGAAAAAAAGGAACCTTCCACACATCCCCCTTGCCCATGTATAATAATCGGCAGACCATACTGTACTGGCAGCATCAGTTCCCTCTGGTGGCTTGGGAAGGCAGCAATTGTGCTATAGCTGTAGACATAAGGAATAGCATAAAGTTTTGCAGGCATTGTGGTAATCCAACTATGTATCAGAGAACAGTACAAAGACAACAGCATCTGAATGTAGGTGAATATAGGAGGGAGATATTGTTAAAAGTATTTACTCTCAACAAAATTCCACCTATAATTACAAATCACTCCACCTCCCCAGAAGGTATTCTATTTGGAATTACATCTCCCTTCAACAAAATATATCCCCACTTGTAAAATCAGTGCTCTCCCTTGCCTGTAAGCCATAGCTCAAGATGTAGTTGTCTGCCCCTCAGGACCTACCCCAGTGCAGCCCAAATGTGTGCTACTGACTCAGCTTTACTGAGAAGTTGATTCTTTAGGTGTGGAAGAACACATAAGTGAAGGCTGCAGAAAAATAAGAAGAATGAAAACAGAACCTCTGAGGCACTACAGCACAGTGACTGCCAGCTGGCAAGAGGTGCTAAGAGTCAAACAGCCTGGGTTGGGTACCATGCTTTCCTTGAAGAGTATGCATTCCAGTGAAAGACTAGGAATACAAGTGAAAAGTGTGAAAGAGAAAAGGAAGCCATCCAGGGGGGTGACTCTCTGCAGAGATCATCTAGTGCAGGCAACACTGGAGATGATTTTACTTGTGCTTCCCTGCATTATTGTCATGGTAACCAGCAACCTGGCTCTGAGGTCAGGCTAACTCTTCCAGAAACAGAGACTCAGCAGGGTAAGAGCGGCCATTTGAGATCGTATGGTCCCACCCACTATGCAAAGAGACTAAGCTGATGTTGGTTGCATAGGACAATATCCAGCTGGATTTCAAATATTTGTCTTCACCAATGGAAGATACACAAGCTCTCTTGGCAACCTGTGCCAGTGTTTGACCATCCTCATAAGTGACCATCTTCACCCTCTCTTATGTTCAGATTGAATTTCATGTTTTCAGCCTGTGCCCATTGCCTCTTGTCACCTGTCGTGGTTTGACACTGGCCAAACAGTAGCACCCACAAAAGTCACTCACTCACCCTCCCCTGCCATAGCTGGGCAGAGGAGAGGAAAAAAAAAATTGACAAAGGGTTCATGAACTGAGATAAGGACCAGGAGAAAACCCCAAGGGTAAAACAGGCTTGGCTTAGAGGTACAAAGTGAATTTATTACAAACCAAATCAGAGGAGGATAACAGGAAATAAAATAAGCACTTAAAACACCTTTTCTTCCCCCAACCCCTCCCTCCTTCCCATCATCAGTGCAGGAAGACAGGGCATAGGCGTTTCGGTCAGTTCATCACCTGGGGTTTTCTTCTGCTGCTCAGGAAGAAGAGTCCTTTCCCTTCTACACTGTGGGGTCCCTCCCAGGGAGACAGTCCTCAATGAACTTCTCCAGCATGGGTCCATTCTCACAAGCAGCAGTCCTCCCAAAACTGCTGTGGTGTGGGTCCCTCTTCTACAGGGTGCAGGCCCCCAAGGACAGGCTGCTCCACCCTGGAAGCAGCACCCCTCTGTCCACTGGGTCTCTCACTGGATCACAGCCTGCTCCAGGCATCCACCTGCTCCAGCATGGACACCTCCCCCACGGGCTGTGGGTGGATCTCTGCATCCCCCATGGACCCCCATGGGTGTAGGGACACAGCTGCTTCACCGTGATCTTACTACAGCCTCCAGAGGAACCTCGGCTCCAGGGCCTGGAGCACCTCCTCCCCTGACCTTGGTGTCTCCACGTTGCCTCCCTCACATGTTCTCACCTCCTCCTCTTCTCTGGTAAAAAAAACAAACGAACAAACTTGTGTGCACTTTGTTTTAATTTTCTTCTTCAATTTGTTATCACAGAGGTGTTATCAGCATCTCTAATTGGCCCAGCCCTGGTCAGCAACATGTCCATCTTCAAAGCTATCAGGGATTGGCTCTGCTGGACATGGTGGAAGCTTCTGGCAGCTTTTCACAGAAGCAGCCTCCGTGGCCTCCCCACAAGCAAAAACCAGGCTCTGCAAAACTCATGGGAACCTCTGAGAAGAGCCTGGTTCCTTTGTTACATCCTATAAGGCATTAGTCAAATAACAGGTGCAACATGACTGCATTTCCAAATAACTGCTTTCAAGAAGCCTTGCGTTTGTTCTGCATCATCAAAATTTGCAACTTCAGGCCCATTAGCGCCTCTTTGAAAAGCCACAGTAACTTTGAAAGCTAAAGAAAGAAGTACTTACTGGAAACTGATAAAGTAAGCCTCAATATAAACATGTTGTAAGCATGGACTGCTTGTCACTTAATGATTCCATCCTTGTCAAAATGCAACATATTAACCATGCTTTCAGTTTATTCCACAATGAAAGATGAAGATTTCATGTTCCAGTACCAATCTCAGATTCATGAAATAATCCCTGGCACCTCTATGGTAGACAGACTTCATGAAAAGCAGAAATTATAGGTTACACTACTAAGGCCAAGAAAACTTACAGTGTTGGTATACTATTAGCATACAAGACAAGGACATATAAAACCCCACTGCTTTCTAACTGCAATGCAAATGCATCCATATTTTAGAAGTTTTATTTTGCTACCAGAAACAGGCACAAGAAATCTCCTTTTCATGTGTTATTTTTAGTCCTATCTTTAGCGTTCTATTGCAACATATGTGATACTTGGACTCTTTCTTCCCAGGGAACATAGCTGAAGAGGATTTTTTTTCAGAGTAAAAATCCATAATTATTAGTAGCAATAACTGCAAGAGAGCTCATCTTCAACAGATGCTCAAAAGGCCTACTCAGAGTGGATCATTTCTAAAGTACAGGTATAGGAATATAGTAATCATTCAGGCAGAGCAATACAACCTCCCTGCTGAACCAGATAGGAATGAAAGATGGCTTCAAAAAAGACCAAGTTTCTTCATCAGCATACCAGAGGAAAATGACTTTCCAAAAACATTTTTATGACCATTTGCCAAAGGACAATCCACCTGAAGTCAATAGGTCAGGTGTTGTGACGCAGCAAAACCTTGTTTTAACCATTCTGTCTGCATCAATTCACTATTTTCTCTTGCTGTTTACATCTGGCACTACAACACCAAAAGCACTTTTTTGGCTAACCTGTTCCCTTCTGTAACTCCAACGCCTCTTACCAAACAGGATCTTGCAGCAGCTAGTATATACCACAAAGAGTGTCTACACAGTTTGGGAACCCTTTCTACATTTTCCTGTATTTTTGGCCAATCTTTGTAACTTGTAGTACCACTAACTGCCTGGGTGTTTTTCTTCTATGAATTTATCTAAAAAACAAACAACAGCAGAAACATTTCTTCAGCTCATAAGTAAATATAACAATGCCCAATACCTTTCCAAAGCAAGGAAATAAGATGAACATTCAAGGCACAAAAACTGCACTAAAAAGGTACAAAGAAAGACAGGCACACATATCGCCCTTGAAACCTTGCATGGCATATGCAGCAGTCAGATTTTAAGTGTATAGAAGCACTAAAACAATCCTTGTTCAAAACACAAACTTCATACTGATGCTTTTTCCATATAGGTTGAGAGCACACAGGTGATTTGTTTACTCTGCACATGCCATACTGGTGGTCAGGGGTCATTCTTTACTAAGGTTGAATATAGCAGAAATCAGATAATGATCACAAATGAAATTTATCAATACAACTTAATCTGAGTTACATAGATTAGGATCAGAATTACACTGGTTTAAAGTAAAACAGTTGTGCACATCTTACACCTTTGATGATACCTAGTTTTACACATTCTCCTGTTTCTGCTCCCTTGTCTTACACAGTATTTCAGTAAAACAAATCATTACAAGCAGAGCTTCCAAGCAGCTTTGCAGCTTTTGCTGGATGAGTCAAACTCCTTAAATCCATCAGAGAGGGATAATAAGCTCAGTACAATGCAGGGCCTGTAGGTATCTAAAGAACCTTCAGTGACTTTGCTAGAGGCAGAAGTCTTTCAAAACAACATCCACCAGTTCAGATGAGTTCAGCATTCATTCTTATTTCATCATTTATTTTACAAAGGTGACTGTGTAAAACACCTTCTGAACTTCCTTTGTGATCTGTTTTCTGAAACAGAGGAACAAAAATGCAAAATATCTTGGTACAAAATAAGAGCTTTATGTAACCTGAGGTCTACAACTATTCAGATGATTCCTCTCTCAAATTTCACCACAGGGTGAATGAGATTAACAGTCTATTTCAATATTTCCTTTCAGTCGTAGCTTTGAGATCAGTTTCTATTAATTTCCCCAGATGGTAGAATATAAAGAAAAGGAGGCAGCAAAATTACTTCAGCATATCTGTCAGCAATCCAGTGTGGTTGAATTATTTTCTGCAATTCCTACTTTTTTGTGGGCCAAACTCCAAGGTTGTGGAGGACACCTGTAGGGAACTGGAATACTGGCCTTCACGCTCTAGGACATAATCCAGCAACAGTGACCTCGAATTGAGGAGACTGCTAAGTTCTGAAAGCAGGTGATAGAGAGCACAACTAGGAATAAATGAGGGAGCATGCACATTTAATACCAGAAGAGGATGTAGATAAGGGAGGTGCAAATATTTCTACATTTCCAAAAGTAGTCATTGCCCCACAGACGGCCACAGACCCTGACTGAAGGCAGATCTTAACTCTTTTCTCTCTCAGGATTTCAGGTAATTAGATATTCATATGAAAATAACAAGCTTTTATTTGTAAGTTTTAAAAATTAATTTAAAATTCTTTGGAACTGAGTGGTTAAATGATAGCACAAAATCAGGGGAAAGGAGTGCTTATTTTTTGCTATCAAGTGCAGCCCTTAGGAAACCCTGTGCCAAGGCACAGTGGACAGAATGCAAACCAGGGTTGGGCAAAACCTACAGCTTTGCAGGGCAGAAAGTTTCCTGACCTGTAGGATGGCTTAATCACCAGGGAGTATCAGCACCTCCAGGAACAGCAGTAAGATATGTGATTTGAAGGACCTAAAACTACTTAGGTAAGAGCTAGGCTGCATAGCATTCACGTCTGAAGCACCCCTAGGAATGCTTCAAAGCTGTTGTAGAGCCCTAGGAAGCTTTAAAAACAGAACTTGAGGACCTCAGAGGCTCTAGGCATCCCTGACACTTCATGGGAGCAGCTTGCTTTGAGGACTGCAGTTTTTGATTTAACCACACAAATTGTGGGTGAAGATGGATTTACACGCTCAGTTGCTGTTGTTGATCTAATGCTTACATTTAATTTAATGTCTTCTTACACTGATTTTACCAAACATCTTATTAGTCTTTGTGCTGAGGAAGACAAGGAAAACTTCTGAGTTGGTCCTAATATTTGTCAAGGTATTAGATGGACCAAAAAAAAAATCCTTTCTTCTGGACCCAAGTATAGAAAATCAATTTAATCCTGGGGTTGTGGTTATTTGTTTTCTTTGTTTTTGCCCTGTAAAAACATACTTAAGAAAAGAAGTAGAAGAAGGATGGAAAATATGCAAGATAAACCAGCAGGAAACCAGAGAAAATTTGTTGCTGTTTAAAAGAGGAACTGTTTGGGGTTGTATGCAAGACAAACAAATTTTCTTGAAAAACAGAAATTAGCAAATCCAGCTACAGTTTCCAAATACGGGTTTGCCTATACCAAGAATGTGTAATAACCTGTATCTCTCTGGTATCCCTCAGGATATATGTAGTGAATCACCTGAACTCAGCTTTTTTTTCAGCAGAAAATAATACTAGCACAGGAAGTTTAAACAAATAGAAAAAAGCCCAAAGCACAGGGAGAAATTATTCTCAACTGATAAAAAACAAATAAACCTGGTAGGACACTGAAAGTGATGAGGAAGGAAAAAAAAATAATGCAGGTCTTAGAAAGACAGCTACTAGCTGACTGTATTTGGTCTGTGCAGTATTTTACCCAGGGATATCTTCAACTGTTTTTGAGAAGTGCAGGCAATCTCCCACTGGCAGCTTTGTATTTTTTAAAAATAGTGAAGAAGCAATCACCACCTCTCTCTGACGCTCATTTGTCTCAGGTGTACCAATGGAACCTCTCTCAGTGTCAACCAACAGCTTCACTCTGGATCTTTACAAAAAGCTGAATGAAACTTCCAAAGGCCAAAACATTTTCTTTTCTCCTTGGAGTATTGCAACTGCCCTTGCCATGGTCCACCTGGGTGCAAAAGGTGACACCGCAACCCAGATGGCTGAGGTAAGCTCTGAAATTAGCCATGTACCACCTTACAGGGGGTGCTACCTAAATTGCATTGTTATTCTACCTATGGAGAACAGCAAGGAACAACATGGGAGGACAGTGATCTGCAATATTGACAGCATGAGTGGGGCTCTTCCATATCAACACTATGGCAGGTCACTTCCACTTTATTTCCAAGATCTCTACTCTTCAACCCTACATTTAGCTTACACTTAAGAGTTCACAGAGCATTGCAAGTTGTCTACATTAGAGACTACTGTTGGTCTTGCTTGGAGCTCTCCATTCCATTTTAACCACCCTCTAAACAGAATAATGAAGCAAATACAGTGCTCAAAAAGTAATGAGGAGACCTTTATAAAAAAAATTAATACAGCACTACAGTATGCTAGAAAAAAGGAAATCTGGAGATAATCTCTTGAGCAAGATATCCCTGCTTCTATACCTCAGCTGGTTCTGGCAGCAGTGTATTTGCTTTCTCATACTGCATACAGAAGTTGCAAGCTCTCCTGAACACGTGTCTGGCTGCACAGGAGAGGCACAAATCTTTGTGAGCTAATTAGTCCATAAAAATGATAAATCTTCCATGAATAATAGAGATATGCGAGTATTGAAAATATCAGAGTCATAGAATACACTGAATTGTAAGGGACCTGTAAGGATTGTTAATTCCAACTCCAGGTCCTGTGCAGGACGCCACAAGAGTCACACCATGTGCCTGAGAGTGTTGTCCAAACACTTCTTGAACTCTGTCCAGTTTGGTGCTGTGGCTACCTCCCTGCAGAACCTATTCCAGTCACAATATTATTAAATCAGTCCATGTGGCTAAAATCTATATAGTAATGATACAGTTACAGAGACTTGATCAAGAGTAAGGTCTTGTCCTCCTTAACTTCAACAGACTATCATTGGCCATGGCTGGTGAATTACCATAGAAACTAAGATACTTATAACCCTTGGGAGTATTAATCTCAAGCTGTGTTTACAAACATTTATCATCTTCCTCACAGGTTCTTCATTTTAACCGGACTGCAAGAGAAGAAGGTCCATCTGAGACAACAAGGCCTTCTCCAGGAAGACCAAAGAAAAGAAAGATGGTATTTATTACAACAAAAGACTGAGTTAAAAAATCTGAGAATGAGATAGTCCAATACAACCACTGCTTTAGGCTTTTAACATCTGCTTGTTTTCAGTCTATTATCTACTATCTCAGTTCAGTAAGAACTATATATACAGAAAGAGTGAACAAGCAGGTAATATGGCTGTAAAACTAATTAATTCAGTCTTTCAAAAGCAGAACTGAGACACTAACAGCATTTTGATTGGCCATAATACTGTCTCACTTGGTTTTAGCTAGGCTGTGGAAATATCAAAAAAACATTGGTCCTAATATGCTTTGGACAATTCCATTCCTTACCACCTTCAGGTTGGTTGGGGTTTTTTTTTTCCTGGAGAAATAAACAACTACTGCATTCACACCTGACTCCAGCCCTACCCAGTAAAGTCCTTTCCTCCTTTTGTATGCACAAACTTCAGGCAGACAAAATTCCCCTTTAAGATGATGTGTGTTGACTCAACCTTGCTCATCTGCTCCCCAGATACTTGCCAGCAGGAGAAGGGCCTGGATCTTTTTCAACAAATGAACTCCCTAATCACTGAAAAGTATTAAACTCAAACAAGCCATGTTTTTTTTCAGCATAGAAACTAAAAGACAGCTGAAAGAAATTAAAGTAGACTAACTTCAAATAAAAGCAGCAAGGGATCATTCTCTCCTTTGATGGGGTGAGATGGTTCTTCAAGATGAATCACTGCACTCACATTAATTTTAGCAACTCACTGACTTCATAAATTGTAGCAAAGTCTGTCTAATCTTTTCCTTCAGGTGTTTCTCCCTATTGCCTCTGTTCCCATCCCACTGAACAACTTAGCTTCTGCTATCCTGTGTCCTCTGGCTACGGAATTCTTTCCTAGGGGTCCTTCCTATCAGCCCACATCTCAGCATGAGTGAGAAAAGAGCATAGCAAGAAATGACAGACAAGTCACGCTGAGTCAGTGGCAGAAACTCTTGGTGTCTCATGTGCAGGGCACAGTACATGACATGGGGGAGGACACTGCATCCAGGCAGCTGGTGGGGAGCAGGTAGCAGCTCATTCCTACATTTACAAAGCAACAGCTGGCAAGAAACCTTATCCTCCTGGAAACCATTAACACTGACACCCAGAACAAGTTCTCTCCAAAATCTAAACAGTAACAGAAAACACCCACATGAAACAGGGAAAATTTGAATAGTTGGTAAGTCTGTGCCCTGGCATTTGTTTCTGTGAGGGTAGAACACCTCAAAAGCTGCCAGGCTGCATTGATGGATCCTTGTGAAACTGAAACTAAAGCCTGAAAATGACAAAAATAAGGAGACTCAGCTTCCTTGATGTACCATCAGGTAATGCCCCCAAATGCATACAAAGCACTAAAGAAAAATGGGTTTTTACATGTTGAGCAATGATTTATCCAGTTATACACAATGCTGCAAACATGCAAAAAACAGTTGCATTCCCTGAAACTCCTTTTTAATTAAAACAACATGAACAATTTAAATAAACATAGCAGGTGCAACAGAAAAAAAATGTCCATATTAATTGGTGTCTCTTTCCAAGGATCCTGAGAACGAGGGAGCAGAAAACATCCACTCTGCCTTCAAAAAGCTCCTGTCTGACATCAACAAACGCAGAAGCACTTACTTGCTGAAGAGTGCCAACAGATTGTATGAAGAAAAGACCTACCCATTATTGCCTGTGAGTTGAACATCTTTATTGATAATCACTCTTAATGTCTCTGTCAATATTCTCAAGTAAAGATGATTAAAAAAAATTCCAAATGGTAGCACTGGAGTTTGAGTGAGAACACTAGCCTTAAAAGGCTAGTCTCAGACAGGGAAGTGGTCCATCTGTTTTCAGCAGTGAGCAATAATAGGCAAGCCTATGAGAATACTCTGTAGTGATTCTTCTCCAGAATCTGCTGTGGCTGCCAACTGATCTGCAGCTCAAGGACTTCTTGAACTAAAAGGCATGTCTGCTTAAGACCATGATGAGCTGTTGCTTCAGGACTTTGCACACTTGTCTTTTGAATCTACTTCAGCTCTCAGCACCGGGATTTCCACAGCTGAGCTACACACCACAGGATGCCCCTGTGCTTTTTGAACTTGCTGCCTGTTTGGCATCACTGTTGGTTCATTTCTGTTCTGAAGGACACTTCTCCACATCTCTGGTCACCCTCAGGCCCCCATGTCTGTATCTTTTATACTGTAGCATTTCTGAGACTGGGGAGGCTGCAGCTGCATTGCAACTCAGAGAGTGGACATGCTATAGTATTACAAAGTGCCTTTACAGAAATTGCTCTTTTGTTGCCTACTTTTTTCTTCCTAGTTCTTAAATTTTTATTTGCATTTTTGGCCATGATTAGGAAGATTTTTTTCATGCATCTGCCCATTACAGCTCCAGTACCTCATTCCTAAACCATAACAACCACTTTCTATATCTTACACTTTACTGGATCACCTCTAAGTATGTTAATATATATTTTAATGTACACATCTAGGCTTTTGTTTTACAGAAAAAAATACTGTAGCACAGATGCCAGTACACATACCCCTGTGGTATTCCAGCAGTAATAACTCTTTATTGTGAATTTTTTCCTCCTACTCTTGGTTTCCAGTTTTTTAAACAATTTATACCTATCTCTGTAGGCCTATGGATGCTCAGCCTTTGGTGAGAAGTCCTACAAAACATGTTTCTGTAACCCAAAAAGACTGTAATGACATGGCCCTTTTACCTATATGCTTACGAGAACCTTCAGGAAACTCCAACAGATTTGTTACTTGGGATTTCCCATTACAAATTGTTGTTGACACTCCTCCAATAAGTCACATTAACCCATACACCCACTGTATTCATTTGCCTCACACCGACTCATGAGTTTGTAATTACCTGTATCGTTGAAATCTTTTTAAAACCGATGTTGTATTAATCATCTTCCAGGTCCGTGGAAGGGGGTTTTAAATGAGATTACTGTTCTCTGATTTTGGAATTTGTTTGGTTTCCTAAGAAATCAGCAATTTGTCCTTCTGAATATGTGTTGCTCATTTTCTCCATAATACCATTTACATTTGCTTTACAGAGAATCAAGGGAATTTCCATAAATGATTTCACAGCAGATAGCCATGGGAACATTAATTCTGTTTTTCTACCATGACTTTATTCTACCAGAACATTTCTTTTATTGTCCTCACAAATTTTTGGCAGGTTCCTCACCTCTGATGCAAACTAAAACCCTCCATTCAATTTTATATGACCCTATTCTTCCATTTTGTACATTAATTCAGAAAGCAGGAAAAAAGAAATTATACAAAAATGTCATTTTGAGAAATTAAAAAAAAGTAAAGCTTTCATGGATATTTCAAAATTAAAGTTTTCCACCTTTGACGTCAAACACAAAAATCTGAAGTCTCAGTTTTCTTGAGACTGCAGTTTGATCAGTCCTTACTTAAAATTTAGAATGGAATGTATCAGACCTCATTATAAAGGTTACTGCACATAAACCAAGTTTTCTTAAATTACGCATTACTAGATTGTATAATATGTTAAACTGATTATTACTAGCATTTTTATAACTCAAGTTTAACTAAAAAAAGCACACATTCTTTAATTCTATCTTTCAGGAGTTCTTACAACTCATTACAAGCTACTACAATGCAAAGCCACAAGCTGTAAACTTTAAGAGAGCTGCAGAACAAGTCAGAGCACAGATCAATTCATGGGTAGAAAACAAAACTGAGAGTAAGTATCACTCTGATGGCTTTTTTCTTGTCTAACTTTCAAATAGTTTGTATTTCCACACTTACTGCTCTTACAGCCAAAGATCCATAAAAGGTGGAAACTCAGGGCAGGGAGGTGATGAGCAAAGTACACCTAAATAGTCTAAAGAATGCCTCTCTCCAGCCTAACTGCTGTTCCATACAAGGTCCATCCCTCAATTCTTTATGCTGTCTGAAGGATTGATGTTCGAAGGGATGCACAGGTAGGTACTGTATGGCTACACAGTAATTAATGAGGGTTTTACTTCTGCACTCTTCAGCTGCTTGCAACCAACTTCACAGGACAATCCAAGCTATTCCGCTTTATGCATTTTCCAGTGCCATTTACTACCAAAACTCCAATAAATATAATTTCAAAAAGAACAGAGAATTCATAGAACTGTTCAGGTTGGTAGGGACCTTGAGGATCATCTCATTCCAATCCCCTTGCCACAGACAGGGACATCTTCCACTAGACCAGGTTGCTCAAAGCCCCATCCAACCTGGCCTTGAACACTTCAAAGGATGGAGTGTCACAGTTAAGTCAAGATGGACAGGGCTGGTACCCTTTAACTAGCATTCCTACCAGTCCTTTATTCACAAACTCTACATGCCTTTTTTTACAGGCCTTTCTCTCTGACTCGTTCTTTCATAGGCCTCTCTCTGATAACTCTGACTCCTTCTCTCATTGGCAGCTTCCCACAGTACTGATTCCTTTTCTTACCGGCAGTTCCACATAGCTCTGACCCCTTCTTTCATTCTGCATAACTGCCTCACCCCAAGCTGTCCCTTTCCCAGCCACCTAACCCTTACTGTCCCTCACACAACATCTTCTCACCTTATCTGTCCCTCACACGAGCACACATCCCTTACCTGCTCACAGCACAGCCAGCAGCCTCCTGCTCTTACTGCAGCAGCCTCTGGGTCTCCAGCTCCAAGTGCCTGGAACTACAGCCAGAGAACCCAGCCCTTTATATCCCCCGACTGACTGGGCAGGCACAGGTGCTTCCACTCCTTGGTAACCAGTACAGCTGCAAGTCATTGGGGAAGATTGCCTCCTGCACTGCCCTTTCAGCCCGGCTCTCCGCAATGGGGCATCCACAATTTTTCTGGACAAAGGATATAAAGATATTTCAAAAGTAATTTTTACCATATGTACAACGTAAAAATGTACAGTAAAAAAAATTCCCCAAAGTAAACATTTTTGAAAGAGAGGTAGGCACAGACAAGGAACAATTAAAATTGGCATGTTATGCAGTCACACTGGAATAACAATCACTTTGTCTGATTTTAAAGGGAAAATACAGAGTCTGCTGCCTGCAGGATCTCTGCATTCTCGCACTGTGTTGGTCTTAGTAAATGCCATTTATTTCAAAGGAAAGTGGGAAAAGAAATTTCTGGAGAAAAATACTTCTGAGATGCCCTTCAGAATAAGCAAGGTAAATTCTTTATCGATATGCCGGCTGTTGTACGTCAATATGTCTATTACTGAGGAGAAAATACTTCACCTGTATTTCATATGCCACTGCAACACTACTTATAGCTGAGAAAGTGGTATTAACTCAGGGAGAATACTAACTGTGAAAATAACCTAGCATTGTCTTATTTATGCCTATCCATGAAAACTGGATTTTTAATTTAAAACTCCTCAGTATCAAAACACTTGGGAACTGTTAAAGTTAATAATAAAAAAAAAAAGTAAGCTAAGCAAGTTAAGGAAAGTAGATTAAGGACAAAAAGAAATTTCTCTAAGTACGATTTTCAAATGGGACCAGGTTGCTTTTGAGAGCAATGTTTACACACCTAGAACTCACTTCTGTTATTGGGACCCTGAGATCATGGGATCTCATCCAGCTGTTCTTCCCAAATGGACCCTGGGTGTTACATCAAACGTCACAGGGAATTTTCACAGGGTTTGTCATTTTAGTTGAGTGTGTGAGGGTGATCTGTTCAGATGATCTATTCATAAAGCTAACAGTATTTAAATGATCATGCACTGACGATTCCCAGTAGCTGACTGCACACATATTTTTAGACTGTGTCAAAAGCAAGCAAAACTTTTTGTCAATGGAAACAAACATTTTGTTTGACATAGATTAAGGGTGCAAATACCTTTTGTATGCCAGACAATGTGAAACAATTGATGTGACTGTGTACCCGAAACCTATTACACTACGTGTGCAGTTTCAGGATCCGTCACAGCAGTTGGTTGTGGTGGGTGACCTTGGCCAGCCACCAGGCACCCACCAAGACTCCCTATCACTGCCCCTTGTGAACAGGATAGAGGGAGAAAAATAGGATGAAGAGGTCATGGGTCAGGGAAAGAACAGGGAGAGCATTTACCAATTGCCATCACAGGAAGAACAGGCACAGCTTCAAGAAATTAATTTATTGCCAATTCTCAGAGTAAGTTAGTGAGAAGTAAATGAAACATAAAGTACCTCCCCCCCACTCCTCCCTTCCTCCCAGGATCAGCTTCACTCATGACTCACCTGTGCCCCAAAGCAGTGCAGGGGACTGGGACTGGGCTAATGTTGTAGTCAGCTCATTGCATGTTGTCTCTACAGCTCCCTCCTCCTCCTCACCCTTTTCCTCTGCTCAAGTGTGAGATCCTATCCATAGGATAAAATCCTTCACATCCAATGTGGGTCCTTCCCATGGTCTGCAGTTTTTCAAGAACTGCTCCATTGTGAGTCCACTGCGGGGTCAGAGATGATGCCAGAAAATCTTCTCCTGAGAGGGCTGTTCTCACAGCATCACAGGTCCTGCTAGGAGCCTGCTCCAGCATGGGTTCTCCATGGGTTACAGGGTGGATATTTGCACCACCATTGTCTTCACCATGGGCTGCAGGGGAATCTCATCTCCAGGGCCTGGAGCACCTTCTCCCCTTCCTTCCTTGCTGACCTAGGTGTCTTCAGGGCAGTTTGTCCCACATCCTCTCACTCGGCTCTCCCAGCTGCTTTTCTGCAGCAGTTTTTACACTTTCTTAAATATGCAATCACAGAGGCACTACCAATGTGACTGGCTCAGATTTGGACAGTAGCGGGTCTGTCTTGGAGCCAGCTGAAACTGGCTCTGCCTGACAGAGGCATCTTCTGATGTCTCCTTACAGAAGCCATCCCTGCAGCTTCCCCACTACCATGCAAATCAAATACACTGGTGCCAGAGAGGGTTTAATTCACAGGGTGAACAGTAAGGCCTGTAAAGAGAGTTTATCAACCTCCTCCTGCAAAGGAGTTATCAAAGCTAACTCCTTTATTTTATATTTAGAAATACATTACATGGGATTGAGTTAGTAGGTATTTAGATTGTGTGTTTATGCAATTTTTTATAAAGACCTCAAAGATATTGAAAAGGGGGTGTATGTGATACGGTCTAAAGAAAAAGGTCCTGGGTATCCAGATGCTGCTGAATCTTGTACTTGTTTTCAGTTCAACGAAGCAAGTAAATTTTATCACTTTTAATGTGTAAGGTAATTTTTATGTCTGAATTTTTTCCAGACCAAGACTAAACCAGTACAGATGATGTTTTTGAAAGACACATTTTTCATACTCCGTGAAACCACCTTGAAATTCAGAATCATTGAGCTGCCATATGTAAAAAATGAACTCAGCATGTTCATTCTCCTACCTGATGACATCAATGATAACACTACTGGCCTGGAGCTGGTAAAGCTGACCTACTGTTGTATTACATACACTATGAAACAGTAACAGAAACAGATGAAAAGAATGAGGAAGAATAAATCAAAATCACAGCAGAATAGCTCTGATTTGCTCATACCTTGTTTCAGAAACTGTAACAGCATGATTTTCAGCTTAGGATTCAGAACATGTGGTAACATTGCAAACATAGTACATCTAAAACCTATGTCCACACAACTGTCTTAAGACTATTTTATATGCTTTTTCCTATTGCCACAATAGCACAGGGAAAGCAAGGATCACCTCTGAATCACCATGCTGTTATCTTCTCCTGAGGGCTGTATTAATTCATTTTTATGTCATTTTCAGCCTGGATTTCCAGCTGATCGTTTGTGGTGAGGTTTCTCAAACTAGGTGCTGACTACTATCTTGATCCAGAAGGTGTCAACAGCAACTCATGACTATGCCAGGATCAGTTTCAGATTCTACACAGAGCAGAGCAAATATTTTTATTTGTACCTCAGTTCCCATGCTTCCCATTTATTTATCACAACTAAGAGAAAATTTATCCACATACACACCTATTATTATTGTTATAAGTAACACATTGCAAAAAAAAATCAACGTTCTTCACACCAGAGAAAAAAATGATAAACTACTCTCAGGCTTCAGGCCCACACTTCGCCACCTTTAAGAAAATAAATAGGAATATAAGTTACTCAGCACTTTGTAGGATCATGTCCTCTAAATATGATGCGCGTTCCATCTGTTGTCTGTGCTGGTAGTTGGGTCTTGTTTTACATGTTCTTGATGAGCATTAAGACTGTGCACGTCTTGTCTCTGTCCTTCACATTCCAAATGTTTCCTTCCTCGACTTATTGCAGGTGGAAAGAGAGCTGACATATGAGAAATTGGCTGAATGGACCAAATCAGACAATATGATGAAAGCTGAAGTGGATCTGTACCTGCCCAAGTTGAAAGTGGAAAAGAATTATGACCTTAAATCTCCTCTGAGCAGCATGGGGATAAGAAATGCTTTTGACCCAGGTCAGGCTGATTTCACAGGGATGTCAGTGAAGAAGGATCTTTTCATCTCACAAGTCATTCACAAAGCTTTTGTGGAAGTCAATGAAGAAGGTACCGAGGCAGCAGCTGCCACAGGTGTCTTGATGATGAGATCAAGAGTCCCAACAATGACTTTCAAGGCTGACCACCCTTTTCTTTTCTTCATCAGACACAACAAATCACAAACCATCCTCTTCTTCGGCAGGTTTTGCTCACCCTAGTCAGTGAACCCTTGAGCTGCAAACCAGGAGACTCTTGCTTGCTAGCACAGAGGCAAACCCCACACCTGAAGCTCTCTGCAACTGGGGGGGTGGGACTTGAACCTCTTCTTCATCAGACCACATACCCTGGCGCCTGAGGCATAGCTCCTCCAATGCCTCCTTCCTAAGCTGAAGGGACAACCACGGCATTGCCACTGGGGAGTGTGCGATGCCTTGCACCGACAGAGCAATCCTGGCTGCCATTCGGATCAGGCCTTACCACTATAAGCTACGGCATTTCTACCTCTCCCACTCACAGCACTGCACACAAGTATATTTTGCCAAAGGCTTTCTACTCACCCTCTTAAGGAGGGCTGCTTACCCTGATGTGGTCCTAGCATGTACTCCCAGCCTGCAGCAATCAGACCCAACTCCTGCTTTTCAGCCCTAGACCAAGCTCTTGAGTTATTACTGGAGGCAAATCCTCCCAATCTTCACCCTGTGGCCATCCGCTTGCTTTCCTTCCATATCTCAGCTGCAAGTCTTCATCAGCTCCCAATAACCCTCATGTGGCTACACAGGTTCCTTTCAACAGAATTTAAAATAAATAAATAAGTTTTAAAATACACCTCTCTAAATGCTATTTGCCTCACTCAGACCCTCAGGAATGCGAGGAAGGGTTAAGCCCGTACCTTGTCTGGCTAGAGCAGCAGCTCAATTTGGCTCAAAGCAATCCTAGCTTCAGAAATAAGTAATAGTAACTGAAGACGCCTCAGGGACCGGGGGTGTTTTCTGTCAGCTCTGCCACGAGAGGGAGGCAGAGGCGAACAAACACGGGCCGTGACCGGCGGAGCTGCGAGGGGAGGGGAGGGGAGGGGCGGCTGCCAGAACTCCCTGAGGCGGGGGGGCCGCCATTTTACCGGGAGGGGCAGCGGCGCCTGCCCGTTCCCGGCGGCCAAGGGTGAAGCGCCTCAGCCTCTGGCTAGATCCCGGGAGGGGCCGGGCTCCCGTCCCTTCCCTCTGCCCGGCTGCGCTTCCGGGAGCAGGGAGCGCGGCGGCCGGCAGGGTGAGTGCGGCGGCTGCGTTGCTCTGGCTGCTGCTGCGTTGTCCTGAAGGTTTTCTACGGGAAGCCTGTGCCTGTGTTTTTAAGGGTTGTCTTGTTTGGCGCGGTTTTTTAAGAAGTAGAGCTGAATGGCGTTGCTTTTACTGTATTTTGTCTTTTCTTTCTTCCCTCTTTCGTGACATTCCCTATAAACACCGCTGGTTCTTGGCGGCTGGAGCGCTTCCTGTGGCAGCGCCGGGGGCACCGCGGAAATGCACGGGCGAGACGTCCCTGCCCGGCCAAACCCAGGGCGGGGGCGAAAAGGAGCTTTTCGCTCCAGGCAGGGCCGAACCTCTGCCTGTTTGTGCTTCAGCTTGCTGGGACAGTGTCAGACTCCTCCCTGCCCCTCCCCGCCCCTGCCGAGGCACAGGGGTCAGGAGCTGGGCAGCAGCAGCGGGGTCATGTCGTTCCCTGCGCCCCTGAGGGGCGTGCGATGCTGAGAGCCACCAGGAGCTGTCCGCGCTCTTGCCCTGCAAGTGTTTTATCATTGCTCCCAACTCTCCAAATCCTAAATGAAGCCTTTTCCCTCAAGGAAGCCTGCTTTGATTGAGTGGGTGGGAAAAGGGGTTGTCTGTGTCACAGACAGCTTTGTTCGTGGAGATGGACATGGCCTGGTGCTCTTTGCCCTGGGTTCCGTCTGGGGCTGACTTTGAAAGAGTCAGCTTGAGACTCCTCTGATGTAGCTGATACATGGGGAAGTATTCTTTGCTGAACACTGATCCACGTCGTAGTTTTGGTGGGAAGAAAGTTTATGTCTTGGGCCACGGGCTGGAAGAGAGCTGCACCCTGCTCTGGTTTCTCCATGGCGAGCCCCTGCAGTGGCTGTCTGCTTATTGATCTACACACAGCCTTTCTGTCCATAAAGACTCCACTGCTGAGAATATACGCTTCCAATTCAGAGTGGTAGGAGTACAAAACTTCTGCACAAGTGTCTCACTGCTGACCTGCTGACCATGGGGAGAGCAGAGTGAGGAATGAGTTGCTGTAGGCAAACCCTTTGACTGCTGAGGGCTTTGCAACAGTTTACAATTGACTGACAAATACGTACTTGTATCATGAGGTTTTTTTGTTCCTTAAAGTATGGTCATTATGTATGGTCTCCAAAACTGTGGGTTCTACATTGTACATTATCTCTGATGAGAAGGGTGTCTGTAGTTACGTTGCTACTCATAAGCTGCAGAGAAAGTGTAATTGACTGTGCAGATGTAATTCCTAGCCTTGTGTCCCAGCTATTGAATAATATTTATGATTTGGTTAAATGCCCCTGATTTACAAGCAGGCAAATAGTGCCAGTTGCGTCCTTTTGTCTGTAAATTCTTGCCTGTTGTGAAAGTTCTACAGACACTTTCAAGAAAATAATTGCTTGCTGCTGTCACTATTCCGGTGTAATTTTGACCCAGAGATCAAAGAAACCTTACTGCTAGCAATCTGCAGATACTGGGACAGTAGGAAAATTCTGGGCTTCATTGTAACCAATGTGAACACTATGTGTCTCCTCTCTGTGCAGTGCATAAATTGCTCATTCAAACGCAATTGGAGGATTGTTTCCATCTAAGCATGCTTGTTCTTTGGTTGAATTTTTTTTAAGTTATAGGAGAAGAGAAATAGGATAAAATTGCCACTGTTGATTAGTAAAGCTGCTAGCAAGGAATTTTCTTGGGTGGAAAAGCATGCATGTGGAAACTTGCTCATTTCAACACTCTGCCTAAGATAATGAATCAGTAGTATGAATTAGGTGGTGGTTTTGTATTTGGTAGCAACAAGTCAACACTAGGCCCTGCCTAAAGGGAAGAACAAAACACAGAGATAATAAAAGCTATCTTATGATTGCTTCTGATACTTATCTGTGGTTAACTCAGTGTTCTGGTGCTTATTACTCATTTAATAGGTGTGGTGTTTAATCTCAGATTCACTACCTATAGCAGATGTATATAGAGTATGACAGGTGCTGAGTTTATGACGGTGTGCGTTCCTGAGTTGCAGGCAATAAAATGAAACTAAAATGGACTTTGATTTTTTTTCCCTTGTAATACAGCAGCAAATTGCAGTCACCTGTCATGCTGGCGATAAATTTTTTTCTTTCCTTTTTTTATTGTGCAAGCCAAGTCATTCTGCCGACGCCTCCCAGCCTTGCTGGCAAATTTAAATCCCAGCGTGTACACACGTAGAAGCAAGCTGCAG